ACAGACAGCATGTCACACCAAACAGAAGAATCGCCATTGTAACAAATTAAATTAGCTAGATCATCTCTCTCTCTCTCTCTCTCTCTCTCTCTCTCTCTCTCTCTCTCTCTCTCTCTCTCTCTCTCTCTCTCTCTCTCTCTCTCTCTCTCTCTCCTTCCCCTGCCTTTTCCTTCTCTCTACCCCCTCCCTCTTTCTCTTTCTCTAGTGCAACAATCATCGAAATTAGATGAATGTAGTATGTAACTCGTAATATTTTCTTACAATAAAATATCGGCGATGCATGCATTGGTATCGGTATCGCTTTGACTGTCAACGAAGAATCGATGTATCAGAATCGCTTTAGCTAATTTTCTTGTATCAGTATCGCTTTAGAAAATTAGGCGCATCAATGCCCATCATTGTGTGTATAAATACACATACACACACACACACACACACACACACACACACACACACACACACACACAACATATTATATATATAATATATATATATATATATATATATATATATATATTATTATGTATTATATTATATATATATATACATATATATATATGTATGTATATACATACATACATACATATATATATATATATATATATATATATATATATATATATATATATGTATGTATATGTATGTATGTATGTATATCTATATATATTTATATCTGCACATATATACATGTATATATATATATATATATATATATATATATATATATATATATATATATATATACATGTATATATATATATACATACGCGCGCGCCCGGGTATGTGTGTCTGTGGGTGGTGTGGGTGGGCGGGTACGCCTCTTTTGTTCACAGCTGTATATCTTGAAGAACACCGAATGCAACCATATACATAAATAGACTGGAAAAGATACAACCCTGCTCTCCAAGTTCTTGATCAACGAAAAGAAAAACTGGAAAAATACCATGAAGCTCTTCCCCACAGACAGGCAGCAGAGCTTGCCGTCATTAGCGGAGCCACATGTAACGACCTATTCATTAGCAGGACTTCAAATACCCTCTTGATCAGAGCATATTATAGGATAGCGCCTCGGTTACTGATCATCGCCTGAATTTTGTTGATTTTTTCTCTGAATGTATGCACATGCAAGTTTTTGTGTTATTTTATTGTTTCGTTCTCTTTGATTGCTCAACATTCACATTTTCAGAGGACATGAAATCTTTATTTCCACTCACTACCTTTCTACGCAATGGTA